TGTTGGTTTTTTTTTCCAGCTACTCGCTATGCATCTGAAAGCTTGACAATGAATAAGAATGAAGAGAAGACTTGATGCCTTTGAGCTGCGGTGGCGGTAAAGAGCACTGAGTAGCCATGAAGGGCCAAGAGAACGAAGAGATATGTTTTGGAGAGGGTGCAGCTAGAATGCTCCTGGGAGGCCAACAAAACCAAGCTTTGTTGCATGTACCGGGCATGTTGTTAGGAGGTTACTCCTTGAAGGGTGGAGGGTCAGCAAAGGAGAGGAAGACCCTCAACCAGGTGGACTGTCACAGTGACTGCCGCAATGGGCTCAAGGTTGTGAGGTTGGCCCAGGATAAGCCAGGGTTCAGGTCGCTAGGAGTCATACTCGACCCAACGGCACCTGACAGCTATAGAGGATGGGAGAGAGGAACGAGCAGGTGGAACACAGGACATTTTAAAGCCATGAAATGATTCTACACGATACTATCATGATGACTACATAGCACGCATAGACCTAGGTAGATGGCATACCTTTGTCACTGCCCAGAGCCCCGTCTAGGTCACCGAGTGTCACAGGCAGTTGGAAGTCGACTGCTAACCTAAAGGATTCACAGTTGGGCCCTAAAGTTCTGGCTGTGGGGGACCTCCCCCAGCCCCTCAATCTCCGCCCAACCCCAGGGCCACTGCAGATGAAAGGCCACGTGGCATGCTTCCCACACCGGAAAAATAGCCACCAGCTCAACCCCAGCCAGCAGTTGTCCTCTGTGAAACACACGGTCATCACAGTCAGACTCAACTGGACAGCAGAGCTTGGCTGGGGTTTGTTTTATAGGACTGCACAAAGCATGAATAATTACATATCCATACTGGACAGTGACTAAGGGTGACAGAAGAACAATCGATGCCTTTGAGGTGTGGTGCTGAAGAGTAGTGAACATCCCGTGGACTGCCAAGAGAACTAACAGGCCTGTCCTGGAGAGGGTGAAGCCAGGCTGCTCCTTGGACGCAAGGATAGAGGAACAGCGCAGAAGAGGAAGACTTCAGATGAGATGGGCTGGCATGATAAATGGGGTGGTGGATTAGGTGTGCTGGACAGGGCAGGGTTCAGAAGCTGTTGTACACGGGTCACTCGCTATGAGTCATGGTCGACTAGACGACACATAACAAAAACACTGGCTCATCAACTACAACAAATGCCTCCAGCCAATGCAGGACGTAAAGGACAGGAGAGAAGGACAGGCATAGAGGAACACCTGAACTTTCAACTCAATCTTTCTGTAAACCAAAAACTACTCTAAAAAGTAGTCCATGAAAGACAGAAAAAGTCCTCAAAGGAATAATCCTGGCCCCAGGCCACAGGACACGGCCCGGGGTGGGGGGGGCTGCCTCCCAAAAAGGCCCAGCAATCGGCTTTCAAGTTGGTCCCATGGCCCAGTTTGCTTTCCGGCTCATTTCCCATCCTGCCCTCGTTCAGAACGGAGCTTATCAAATATATAAGGTCAGCAAGATAAAGGAGTTTCCATTTTTCCTGGGAGCTCCTCTGGTCACAGGGGACAGCTGAGGGTTGAAATGGCTTTTGTCTGGCCACTCGAACATGCTGTCCAAAGGCAAGTGAGCTGAGGTGACATCAGTCACTTGGCCCAAGGGTGAGGACCCCAGCAACTGCTAAAATCATGCATCACCAGGTGCCTGGCACCTGACAAGGTCCGTGCATTTTCTGAAAGGGGACAAGAGTGAGATGGATCTCCCAGCAGGTTCTCTTTTCAATCACAGAATCCTTGCCAGGACTGGAGAAGACAGGTGCTTTCTGTGAACACCTCATCAGGGTCTCGGGAAGCGTGGCCTGCAAACACTCTTGGCCGATTTGACCTGTCCTTGTAGTAACCTTTCTTAGAAGAAAGGTCCTGCAGGCTTAAAGGCTGGCAGTTCAAATGGCGCCCAGGCAGTCCATGGAGGACACAGGACTAGCTGAAGCCAAGAACCCCTCGGAGGGCAAACACCTTCTCGTGCAGAAAAACAATGCCCTTCCTGGGCATTGTGTGCGCTGAAGACGGCGACCCAGGCCAGACCCCCGGCCTCGGCCCAGGAGGCCAGGTGGTCACACGGCTTTGCAAGGACCCAGAAAGCTTCCTCGCAGAGTTCCCTCTGCTCCAGCAAGTGACGCTGTTGTTTCTCGTGGAGGCGAGGACGGTGCGATCTGTCAGGACCCCATCCATGAGTGTGAAGGGTGTTTGAGATAACGCCTGCCCTACGTAAACGTTTAATAAACGCCAACTACTATAGAGGCTATTTATCAAAACGATCTTGAACTTACACTGCAGGCACCACATAAATTTACTTATTAACTTGCACGTGCGCAAGCTGTTAATATGCGTCTCAGTTGACTGGCTGCTGATACACCTACAATGCCGAGCAACCAAGATAAGGACGTCTTTCGGCCTCACCTACCACCAGCCTCCCTTTACCGTACGTTAGATGACCCAGCATCATCCCAACCCTTCCTCCGTGCAAACCTTAGCTCCACAAGCATCATTTTCTCAGGCTGAGCCTACACCAGACCCAGGCAGCGAGGGGGCTCTGCTGGACCACAGACCAGGCAGCCCGAGTCGCCAAGGGAACTAGAAAGCCATAGGATTAGCCAAGAGGAGATCTGACATAAGACACAAAGAGGAATCACTTAAGGGTTCAAGCTCTGGCAGAGAGCGTCCCGGGTTCAAATCTCCAAACTGGCACTAACTTTGCTGTGACTTTGGGCAAATTATCAAATCTCCTTTTTCAAGCAAATGAAAACCAGAGAACTGTCATCAGATGATTGTGAGAATTTGTGCGATAGTTGCAATAGAGTATTTTGCACAATTCTCTAACGTTTAATAAGTGCGTGAGTTTTAGTAACCACGCTCTTGATTTCAACTGCTCTGACAAGCTCTGTTTGGCTTAGCCGGTGGGTGTGTGAGTGAGTGTCAAAAATTCTATTTTAAAAAATATTTTTTCAAGATTTGAAGAGCAGAGACTTGACAATTTGAGAATAAACACTGTTCTCTTAAAGGCAAGCTCTGGTGGCCTAGTGGCAAGAAGCTGCACTACAATCCCAGAGGTGAGCAGTTCGAATACACCAGATGCTCTGCTGGACAAGGAGGGACAATCTCCTGTACCAGTCAGACCTCATTGACGGTACACACACACAAAATAATAAAATTTTTTTTAAAAAGTAAAAGGAGAAAGATAACCTTTGTTCTCCCTGCCTAGAACGAATGGGGAGAAGAGCAAAGACACACCTGGTTCTGGATCAGAGGACCCTCACTCCTACCCTCTGTCTCCTGCAGGAGCCCTGGACCCACCTCTCCTCAGCTGGGTGACCTCAAGCAAAAGAAAAGACTACACAAGCTTCAAAATCTTAACACAATTGTAAGCTGTTCACCTACTTTACAAGGTCTTACAATCTTAAAGAAAACAATCGATGTGATACTCATACTCACAAGGACTCAGACTAGCTCTCGGGCTGTTACGCACCGGAGAAATATTTGGGGAGTTCGTTTGGGCTGGTGCTGTGGGAACCAGGGACAAAGCCTTGGCCATGAGGAGCTGGAGCTTTATCAGCACTTGAAAGAATTCAGGAGTGTGTTTACCAGCCAGAGGGAGTGGCAGTTCAAAGGACCATCTAAGGTTATCCAGAGGAAGAGCCCAGAGACAGGCGGCTTTTTATAGAGAACGCACCAGGCCTTCGGTCCAGGCTGCAGCCCGTGTTTCAGGAATCATACAGTCAGCAAGCCAGGTCTCCCGGCCCCTGGGAGGACCCGGAGGTGGCCTCAAGGACACAGAGCTGGAAAGAGTGCCGGCCCTGGGCACAGGGACACACCGCGGCCTCACCCTTATGACCACACGCCTCACCAGTGATGACCACCTCTTGGGAGGACTCCCTCCTAAGTGCCAAGACCCTGTGTTTCCTGGTCATCCACCTCTGTCCTGGCAGCTGCCCCTTCAAGAAGTGGGTATCTGTCCGTCACTCCTCACAGGCCCTCGAGGGCTTTCATCTCTAAGATGAAGGGTCTCTATGAGGATTATGTGGATCTGATCCAGTCCATTTCCTGCTCCTCCTCTAGGAAGGCATCCCCCACCCCCAGACACTGAAATGGACACCTCGGCCCCACCTGGGAATCCTGTCTTCTGTGCCCCCCACCTCCCTCCTCACACGCTGCGGCTGGACGTCACCCAGGACGCTTCTGCTGCCCCCTCACTAATGTCCGCCTCCCACCAATACTGTACAACAAGCAGAGCTTTTACGTGTGTGTCCCAGGCTTCCTGTGACCCTGCCCAGGCCTGCCTCTCCAGCCTGACCTCCACCGGCACCATCTAACCGCGTTCTGTAATTGCTGGGTGTGTGGAATCACATGTGGACCCAACAGAGTTTAACAGGCTCTTTACCAGAAGGCTCAGAGTCCAGCGCACATCGTGGCTCTTCCGTTTCCCCAAGTTTACGGGAACTTCTGGTCCTCCTGTTTTCATAAAGCTCAAGGAACCATCTAGAAACAATTTGCTGTTGGTTCCCCGGGACCATTCAGGGTATGGCAGTGCGTACAGTAGAGGAGGTTGGAGATGCTGGACCCGCGGCGGGTGTGTGTGTGTGTACAGCTCCTCTCCATCACCATGGTGTCACGTGACGTCACAGCAAGTGCCCCAACAAGGCGCCCATTCTCCCACGCTGGGCCACGCGGCCCTTCTCAACACAGGGGGAGAAAGCAGATAGTTTCCAGGATCGGCAAGTCTACTCCCAGCAGTGGAACCTGATGGGCACCTTGATCCCCCAGGCCATCTGCCTTCCAACCTTCCAGTCACCCACACACACTCCCCTTCAATGCCCTGTGCTCACATCAGCTGGGGGTTGGGGGGACTTCTGAGCTGTGAACCCAAAGAGCCTTCACGGGAACACACAGCACTTTGGCTCCCAGAGCACAGTCCCCCCCAAGTGGCCCCCCGACTGTGGAGTCCTCAAAGCCACTGCACGGAAGCGCTCAGTACCTGTGCCATCCGGAGTGGACCTCACAAAGGTGGGCAGCATCTTCACTGCGGCTGTCGGGTGCGTGGTGGCCCCAAGCCCCTTCTCCATCTCCTTGCGGAACCGCTTGGAGATCTCCTGAAGCGTCTCGTCCGAGAGACGCATGTCGTAGAGGTACTGGTCCACCTGGAAGGGGACACCAAGGGGAGAGGGCCCGGTTAGAAGAGCCAAGGGCCGGCCTGTGGCACCCCACACACTGCGCCCTGCAAGGGAAGGCTTGGGGCCTCCACAGAGGAGGCCACCCCACCCCGCCACAAAGCAAGCCTGAGAGTAACCAGTCGGCTACCCTGGAACCGAGGAGCAGCTTCCAAAGGCCCTGGTGCTTCAACAGACTGGCCTTGACACCGTGCATGCGGACAACTGTGTGCCCCACGGGTCTGACTGCTTTTAGGAGAGTGGGGTGCCAGAGCTTCTAGACCCTGCAGGTCCCCAGGAGATGGCTGTACCTACTTGGCACGTGACAGGCACATCTCTAGCAGCCTCCAGTGACCCCTGAGACCCAGCCAGCGTTAACCACCCTAGAAATGTCCCAGTCCAGGTCCAATGACATCCGGGCTGCCCAGGAATACAACTACCCCATGACTCACACATCTCAGTGTTCATGGAACAAAGCCCAGGGTCACTGGCAACTGCCAGTAATATCCGGGAACAGCCCATGGGGTGGGAAGGGCCCGTGGGGCCGTAAGGGGCAGCAGTGACACTGCATACTTGCTCAGGCCCTGTTTAATCCTCCCGACAGTGCTGTGGGGCGGCGCTGTGGTGGGGCAGCACTGAGGGGCAGGTAGCATTGGTGGCTCCACTCTACAGGGCAGTGAAGCCAACTAGCCCAACGCCGAGCTGGGACTGAGCCTGGGACACTGTGCTTTCAGCACTCTGCTAGGTGACTGGTCTTAGATGACAGAAGTCTGCCCGGACCACTGACAGAGTGTACTCTGGCTGGTCCTGGGGAGCAGATGCCCGTTTCCCACCTGGTCACCCAGCACAGCCCCCTTACCACATGGTCACCCAGCACAGTCCTGGGAGCAGACGGCCCACTTCCCACCTGGTCACCCAGCACAGTCCTGGGAGCAGACGGCCCACTTCCCACCTGGTCACCCAGCACAGTTGTGGGAACAGACGGCCCCCTTACCACGTGGTCACCCAGCAC